TCTCTCTCTCTCTCTCTCTCTCTCTCTCTCTCTCTCTCTCTCTCTCTCTCTCTCTCTCTCTCTCTCTCTCTCTCTCTCTCTCTCTCCCTCTCAACGTAAGAAGGCTTCTCATCCTGTGGTCGCGTAGAGCCCAACATTCTTGAACGTGACCACACATGTTTATGACGTGTTATCGGGACGTGCGAGACGGGCATTCGGTCGACTCGACAGGTCTTCAACAATCCGGGACGTGTGACAGAACCGGAAATTTTTCTCCGTAAGCAGGATTGATCGTGGTGTGTGAAGGGGCATTTGATCGGCCCGTCTGATCGGGGCGTGTGATCAAGGCGGACACAAAGACCAACGAAAGAGACGCACGCAAAAAAAAAACGAAGTGGACGCACGTCAAAAAAACACGACCGACGAAGACGAAGATAGAAGAATAACACGACTGCAAAGGCATGCCAAAAAGTAGAAGACAAACAAATTGTCATGAGACAAACCAGGAAAATTGCGTTTAGAGAAGCAAAAAGAACGAAACAAAGCGGACGGAAAGAGGAATGGACGAACCGATAAGACGAGGAAGGCGAATGACAATGAAGATCCGGAAATACGAAGAAAGCGAATGGCAAGGACGAAAAGATGTCAGAGAACCGGATCCCCCTGTTTCACAACGCGCTCCCAGCGTGATCTTAATGTGGGCAGATTCTGTCGTTTCTTTCGCACGGATTGCTGTCTAGAATTTATACGTGCGTCTCGTCGATTTGTTCAGTCGTGTTCTCCGTCCGTTATTTTTTTTCAACATTCTTGTTTGTCTGTTTCCTGTTCGCACATCTTTTCCTGGATTTTCCGCAGCGCACGTCAATGTGCACCATTTCCGCACACGGGGATCGAACATTGTGTTTCCCATCTAAGTAGTCGACACGTGGCGATGGAATCTTCTCTTTGTCATCACGTTGTCGTCCATGATTGTGATCGAGGTGTTTAAATGAACTCCAGCACATGGACGGTTGTTTTCCTTGTGTCTCGAACAGTTGAAGTCTCGTGTTTGCTCCCCAGTGTCGCTGACACATGCGTCATCACCAACGGTCTGTCCTGTCACATGACACGTTCATCGAACCCTATCGAACAACCGTCAGCCAATCGTCGCGAGACAATGAGCTGAACTCTTCGCTGACGTGGCCACGGGAGAGGGCAGCAACTCATGTATGTCAACAAGGCAAGAATCAGTCCGTTCTGGCGTGTTCAGATCAACACAAGTTGGGGTTTCATGGCCAAAAGCGCACGACCCTGCACTCGTCTCGGTCCCCGGCGCGGAGGGCAGTCGAATGCGCGAGTGGACAACAAACCAACCAATTAATGAAGACGCCAATCAATATAAAAACATCCAATCGAAAACTGCGTGCACATTGTCGGTTCGGGTCAACCCGATCGGCAACAAAAGAACATTTGCAGCACACTCTGTCAAGATCGGATTGATCCGGCTCACAGGGTCTTGTCGACGAACCGTTGTCGGATCAACTGGAACGTCGAAAAAATACCGTGTCAACACCATCCTCTGGTGGTCGAATGCATTCGGACCACCCGTGTCAAATTCGGATGCAACTTAGAAGGATGACGACACCGCCGCCTAAAATTCGGATGAATCCGAACCACAACCGGGGAATAACGGCAGCTCGGATGACCGGCATGGCGACAACAAACCATGTCGACCTCCCCCGGGTTTCAGGTTCGGATTAATCCGACATATATCAACGATTATCGGGTTTCAGATGATCGCCGACGTGCTTCGGATTAATCCGACCTTGAAAACGGGTGAAGGACCCCTTGGTCTGTTGTCACCACACCAGCCTTCTGAGCTGTCGTTTTTACCGCACTGCACTTCGGATTCAGCCGAACGTCACGCGACGGTGTCGTCGTACCTATGAGTGTGGGCCGGATGCATCCGAACTTTGCAGTGGGAGGCCCCCCGAACGAAACCATGTCGACCATTCCCGGGTATCAGGTTCGGATTAATCCAAAGCACATCGGCGATTATGGTATTTATCCCAACCTCACCGAAGCACGTCGGTGTGACACGGATGAATCCGGCAATCGCCGATGTGCTTCGGATTAATCCGAACCTGAAACCCGGTGGTAGGACGCCATCGTCTGGTGTCTCCATACCGTCCATCCGAGCTGTCTGTCGGTGTTCCCGGGCCGTGCTTCAGATTGATCCAAACTTCACACGGCGGTGTCGTCGTCCCTGTGAGTTTAAGGCGAGTGTGGCTTGAATACATCCAAACTCTGCAGTAGGAGAGACCGGGCACCAAACCGAGACCACACATCTACCACGTATCCACCAGCAGTCGGAGTCTTGCACACCCCACTAAGGTGGAAACACAACGTCGACGTTGCCCCTCTTCCAAGTTCGGAAGTGTGCGCAACTTCCGTGGATTCTCTTCCGACATGGGCTTTTCTGCCTGCCAACAATGTGTCTATGCGAATAAATGGACACTGAAGGGTCCGAGCACAACAGAGTCACACATCTACCTCCTATTGATCCGAACCACATCGCGGCTTCCTTTCCCCGCAATTAGGATGGATCCGTTCACACTGCTTTGAAATCAGTATGCTCCCGAACCACCCCGCCGAAGCCGACCTTCCGTTTTTCAAGTTCGGATGAATCCGGACCACAACGGGGCTACACATCTGCCTCTTTTCATCAATGTTCTTGGGACCTGAGACGCGGTCTTACTCCGCCCGACACCGACAGATATTATTAATCGAAAAGTTTTTGATCCCTGTTCAGCACACCGCGGTAAATATCGGCCCCGGGAACACACCAAAAAGACGTTCGGATGAATCCGACGCACACGGGTGAAGACGTCCTTCCCCTTGCGAAGTTCGGATGAATCCGAACCACACTGGGGTAAAACACTTGCCTCCGCTCCATCAACGTCACACTTCCTTCACTGTCAGGTTTGGATCCATCCGAATCATCCATTTGTCAATCCGCTTACGTAATTCCGCCCTGCCACTCCATGCCTTTGTCGATCGCGGGTGCATCCGGACCTCACGATGACGTCCTTCTGCCGTGACTTTGGTTCCGGAACAATCGTGCGTCATTCTGAATTAATCGATATGATTGTAGATTTCTAGCATGGACAAAATTTCCTCCGGACGTCTCGCCTCTTGCCATTGTGCCTTTGCGCCGTCAAACAGCCGGGAGAATGTTCCTCCGACGATTTGTGTTTGTGTGCGACCTTACGTTCTCTTCAGGGTAGTGTGATGATGACGGGATAAATTTCCTGGACTTTCTCTCTGGTGATTTCTTTCCTTTTCCATGTTTTGGATTCATCCGAAGCTGGTAGTTCCCCTCCGTCGTGATCAGGCGAGTGGTCCATTGACATCGAACAATCACTGCACTTCTCGATTTTATGGTGCTATTGGGTGGTGTTCTTCGTAGGTGCTCTGGGTCGACGCTGATGTTAGGACGTGCTCGAGTTTTCGATCACTCCGTCTTGTGTGTGCTGAGTGCCCTGAGTGGATGTGTTCCCGCTTGCTTCACGTGTTTCAGGGAAAGGCTGCTCATGGAGGAACCCACTCCGCCGGTGGTTCCGCCCCGCATGGGGAGGAGCCTCGAAGGACGACGTCGACACCAGTCATGGCGACGAGTCGGGGTGGTGTCGGTGGGGTGGAACAACAAGGGGCCCAAAACTTGTGGTGCGACTACAGCAAGCGTGTCTGGTATTTGGACTGGGCATGCCAGGACTCCTCCATCCCGACAACAGGACGATGCGGGCCAGTCTTGTTCGTCGCCTGTCGCGGTGATACGACGCGTCTCGTAGGGTCTGTCGTCGAGTACGCCGACGAAGGCGACGACATTTTAAAGTTTACCTTGTGGAAGCTTTACAGAAGTGATGGTTTCGTCGACAAACTCGCAAAAGGATGCATGGTTGCTGGGAGGAAGTTCGGGGGGTACAGCGCAGGTGCGATGGCTTTGCCCTTCTTTGTCCCTTTGTCGCCAGGCCACGACGAAGTCGTTCACATGAAAGACTTCCTCGAGGTTTGTCCGGCTTCAGTAGACCCTGGCAATGGCATGGACGTTGACCCTGGGACATCGATACGTCGTCCTGTTGGGTTCGCGCGAGGAGACAATTTCGGCGGAGGTGTGGGAGGGGAGGGTGGACTGCCAGGTACGCCTCCTGATCCGGCAGTGGGCATGTCGGACGACTCTGAGGACGAGTGTGCGCGTGCGTCTTTGAAACCAGGCTTGCAGGGATCTCGACGCCAAGGTTTGCTTGGGGAGTCGCCAATTCGGGCGTCGCTTGGAGACGGCGTTGGCGAACGGTTGGAACAGGCCTCGGGATCGACGTCTCCCCGAAGTCTCGTAGAAAGGATCGGTGAGTTCGTCCGTGGCAAGAAGGTGGCGGAGTTGTCGACGGCTGGTCGACCGGGTGGCTCGCAGGTTCGAGAGGTGCGTGGGGCAGACGAGACGACTCTGTCGGTCCACCCTGCTCTTGAGCGTCTGCAGACGGAGGCGAGCCCTCGTCGGGAAGCAGGTGGGAATGTCGCTGGTGACGATGAGCTGCTCGGGCTGGGGGTGACTCGAGAGATCTCATCGAAGACGACTCAGTCGGGAGGCAAGCGCATCATGCCAGTTGTGGAGGAGCGGGAGGGAGCAACGGCTCAGAAAAGGCAAAGAAAGGAAGAAGGGAGTGCTCGGACGCCGATGACAAAAGAGCGCGACTCCGTTGAGAAGAGGAAAAGGGTTGGCGGTGGAGATGATACACCCCGAGAGCCTTCAACATGACGAAGAACTGGGGAGTCTTCCGGGAAGAGGTCTAAGTCGACAATGGAGAGGAAACCAAATGAGGGCGACACCCGGGAGGGGGACAACGACGTGGAGATTAACCTGAATACATTTAACCTCGACAAAGCGTTCTTCCTGGAGATGAAAATGGGGGTGCAGAGGGACATCGTGTTGCACGTTCATCCAGAAAGAATATTGCATATTCCAGACTGGGAAGACGTGTACAACCATCGATCCTTGGACGCGTTCCTCGTGGACACCATCGCGGCGGCTATGATCGACTTCTACGAACGTAAAGACATGAGATATACAAAGCCGATTTTCGTTCTGGCTCCGATCGTAACGCCACCAGAGAAAGACAAACCTGTTGTGCGCGTGCTGCCTCAAGACTTCGACGCCTCACACCCCGAGAAGTACTAGTATTATCCTGTGTGTGGTCAGCATAATGCGAGGGCGGCGATGAAGGTGAAAGACCATGCGGCGTTCGGTTACTACAACTTTTGTGAATGGCCATTCAGACCAATTTACTTCCCTGACGACGAATTCGATGGCTACGCCCATATCAGCTGCGAAGACAACCTGAAAGACAAGAAGAATCCACCGAGGTTGCAGATTTTATCCATGCGGGACATTCGTAATATCTCGAAAATTAAGGGGAGACCGCGTGTCGTGCTAGGCGATGCGTCCAAGAAAAAGGAGGAGATGTGTAGATGGACTCAGTTCATGGCCTTGGCAATGAAAAAGACACCGTACACCCCTTTGTGTGGCCTGTCGATGGAAGAAAAAAAGAAAAAGGAATGGGCCGAGAAACTTCAGTACTATCTCCCACTGGCCATGGCTGACGAGTCGGTCTTTGTGTTGGCAGAAAAGTTCTACGAGGAGTGGTCAAAAGGAAAACTTCTGGCTTCCGACGGGCAACGTTGGACTGAAAAGTCGCCGACCCATAAGGAGGTGGCCAAGCCAGGACTTTCCACTGTGACTGACAACCAAGGACTGAAAAAACACGCTGGTACGCTAAGGTGGACGACCCATTGTTGAAAAAGGGGAAGGGGAAGCCAAAGAAGGGCGCGGAGGAGAAAACTTAGTACGTCCAAGTTCCTGAGCCGGATGTCCACTGCTGGAAGGAATTGGCAGACTTGACGGACCGCGAGAAGAGAAGGCTGTTAAATGGCGTCTTGAACCTTACCGTCGTCTGGGTTCAATCGAGTAGCAAGAAGTTGGCCGAACAGGGGAAGTACAGTGTGAAGGAGATGGTCGACATAATAAAAATCGACCGGATTATGCTGAGGCTATGGCACTACGTGGAGTTTGAGCACGAGGAAATGGAGAAGGAGGAGTGGAATATCAGATCGTCGTTCTTCAGGTCCAAGCGACAATTGTTGGAGGAGTACTCGGACAAAGGTCACGACGAAAAGCTTTGGAACGAGAGCAGAAAGTTCTTCAACGACAACACCTACGTCAACAAGTGCCCTCAGTATCTAGGGTGTCAACATGACAACAACGTCAAGAAAACCGTTGCCCTCCTTAACGACCCGCATTTCCTGGCGGAGTGGAAACGTGTGGTGCTATCGATGATCACCGGAGACCACGCACAAAGCAAAAAAGGCCCTTGGGGCGTTGATGAATGCATCAACATTTTCTGGAGGAGGACAAGCGCCGTGACAACGCTGGCCCCGTTTGTCATCGACCCATTGAATGCCATGGACCATAAGGACGCACTGGGAAAACTGGGGCATCAGTTGCGCTCTCACACTTGCGTGCTGGACTTGTGCGGAACTGTGGATCGGTCGCGCTGGGATTCTGGAGCATTCGCGTCTCTCAGTGAGTTCCTGGGCATCGTTTGTCAGGACTACTGGACATTGGTGGTATTCGTTCCATGCCTGTGGAACCTCTCCTTCATGACATCTTTGTTTGCGCTTGGGGCTACCCGATGCTACACGGGGAAGTGGGTTCGCAAGACGCCGGCGAAGAAGACGCATCAGTTCGGAAACAGCCTGTGGGAGGAGCCGGATGTTATGCACATCCTTTTCAAAGGCGACGATCCGCGGCTGCTGACTCGTCTGGTATACGAGGGAACTGTTTCCGAAGACGATGCGGCCGCTCTCCGGAGGAAGCAGAAAGTCACACCCACGGATGTGGAGGAGAAGCCTTTCAAGTCCTTGCATTTCGTGAACTTTGGGAACCTCACCCAGAGGGGGGTTGTGTACAAGGAATTCGAGAGGTATCCTAATCAGTTATGCAATCAACTTCTTTTCTTCTGTGGTGTGGTGGATGCTGTGCTGTTCTTGGGCAATCCGCACGCGCAAGTGGTGTGGAATCTGCTTCACCAGGGACGGCACATCTTGGCCTTAGAGGGGGACTCAACGCAGCTCGAATTTATCGTGCAATTTGTTCACCATGAAGTCCAGTCCGGGGCTTACGCATGTGATTTCCACCATGTCGTCGTCAAGCCCGTATATGACCCGAATAAGGACATGTTCTTCAACTTGACTTCGAAGAAAAGGCACCAGGTGTACTCCTTTCGTTTCGGCCATCAACCGAAGTGGAGAGTAGACGAGCAGTTCGTGATGTGAAAGGAAGTCGCCATTGCAATCCTCCAGGGCTACCACGGGGCCAGTCGCAGCAGCGCAGTGGGGTTCATGAAGAGGTTGGAATATATCTTTTTCGATGAAGGTGTGGTCGATCTAGCCGACTTCACATTGGACAACTACAGGCTGGCCTTTGGTGAGGATGATGACTTCAATATCGAGACTAAGCAGAAGGAGAGCGTTGAGGACGACCTCTTCGATTTCGATGGCCAATTAGCCATCTTCAACGCCCACATCGTTTCTGAGTCGCCCTCAGTAGGCAAACCGGGGACACCGCTCGCTACACCCACCTCAGGTGGTCCCACACCCATGTCCTCCTCAGCGCCTGTCAAGAGGGGTGGGTTGTCCCGCCTTAGGACTTCGCCGGTGGAGACACTACGTCTCACACAGCACCCCGAACGTCTTCAACCCGACCGACCAGTTCCTCTTGACCATCCACATCTCTCGGCTCCTGCACAGCCCTACCACATGGGCGACAAACACACCTTTTCCAAAGCTGAAGATTGGGGCCATGATATCGTGTGGCACCCTAACCATTTCCAGCCAGTCCTTCTCGACGGTGACTGGGCAGTGCCGCTGAGGGACATGAGTGGAGGTTGGGAATATGACGATCATTGGGACCTTGACACTTTCAAATCTCGAGCCTACGAGGCGGTATTGGAGAAATTGGCTGAGGTCAATAGACGACCCAAAGACGACCCTGCTCTGCGGGCATACGCGGACACGTTGTTCGATTTATTGCAGTCAAATAAATGGTTGGAAGTATCCTCCGCGTTCTACAGCCTTCCGTCGAGCCCGTCGTTGAATCAAGTGAGTTAAGAGTTGCCTGCGATCACCCCGACGTCTGGAGTTGTGGTGCGCAAGTCTCGCGGAAAGGACGACGAAGGGGATGGTCAGGGTGGCGGTCAACGCGAAACCGGGGGGGGTACTGAAGAACGCTCGACGAGACATGGGTCTGCGGGGCGCGAAGGCGGCGGAGAGGGGAAAAAGGGCAGCGGAGAGGAGAGAAAGCCTCGCAGCGGAGAGAAGACAAAGCATCGCAGAGGAGACGGACAGGGGTCCATCGACGACGATGAGGACTGTGCGGCATTGGCGGTAACATGCAGCACCTCGATGGACACGGGAAACGACTTCAGGCCTGGGTGGACGGAGCGGGCTGGCGAGCAAGACTCTGTCATAAGCTCCACCAGTGCGACACATTTTATCGATAAGGTTGGCGGGTCATTTGTGGCGAAGGATGGCACAAGCCCAGCTCAGCTCCAGACTCAATTGGCGGATTGTCTCGGATCAATCCGACCCACTGTAATGACGTTGATGTCCGGAACATAGTGCCTTGAGGGAAGCGTGACGACAACACACCTTGGGTCCGTCTGCAACAAGCTAGAACCGTTCTCCGTTTCACCACATGAGGAAGTTCGGATTAATCTGAACCTGGAGGCCCATATCGTCAAGAGAGCACAGTGGTCCACGGAACCCGAATGAACGGTCCGGGTTTTTAAACACCCTGCAGGCGAAACCCGGATTCATCCGAATCAGGAGGACGTGTCTACAGTGCCAGTCGAGTGGTCCACGAAACCCAAATGGACGGTCTGGGTTTCTGAACACCCTGCAGACGAAGCTCGGATTCATCCGAATCAGGAGGATGTATCTACAGTGCCAGTCGATCGGTGTAAGGACGTCGTTATGTTGTGGATGGAAATCCACAGGGAGCTGCAGGCAGACTGTCTGTCTTTCATAGTCGGTGTTCGAGACAATGCCATGGGCTCCCTTGTGGGTGAGTTAGCACCCGATTCCAACGTCCACTCCCGCACACTGGGAGACGAATGCCCGGTTACGATGCGCGCTTCGTTGACGGTCTTGAGTGACTCTGCGATGAAAGCGGACACGTCAGCGCCATCGGACTCTGTCGGGGCACGGATGAATCCGATCCCGGGCGATGTGAGCATGTCCCTCGATGATGATGCTTTGGAGACGGCCCTAATTCGGATGCATCCGAAGCGGACCGACAATGGATTCGATTTGGCAGGCGTCGAGGGTTGTGGACATGTCACTGCTTTCGACACTACGGACGGGTCCTCGCCACTGCATCCCGCCGATGACCGGGCTGATCCCGAACCCGGCAACGTGAGCATGCCCCGCGACACTTCCGAAAATGAGATGCGGACCGGCGACTTGGACCAATGACTCGAGCCGGGTTACAAGGACCGCTTGTACTCCGGCCTTCACGACGTGGCTATGGGAGAGGGTATTGTGAAAAAGGCCTCTGACATTATTGAAGATAAAATTGTGCTACTCAAGGGACGGCGACAAAAACACAGCGCACGAGGCCAACAAGTTAAGGGGAGAGGAAGTGTTGTTCGACATCCGCGGAACCTTGAGCCCGCCATAATACGACGCTGGGGCAATGGAGAAAACACAACCTGTCAATGTTGTGGACATCGACGCTCTTAGTCCGGAGAAGAGCGGAATGAATTTGTCCATCGCGGAAGTGGGGGATTTGCGCCATCGGGAGGAATTTATGTCGTCGCCGACCGTCGATGCCGACATCTCCAACCTGTCAAATTTTTCGAGTGGTTTGGAGCACGTCATCGCGGCGTCGACGCGAAGAGGGTCGGCAATCGTGCTGGGACTACCATGGGTGGACTCCGCTGACGTGGAAGCTAAGCCTGGTAAGCACTGAACTTCTCAGCTTGCTTCCCGCTCGTAATCCTGACTTCGTGAAGTGTTGTTTGCTTCGTTGCTTCCGGGGAGTTGTATTGACAGCCGCCAACTAAACGTTACCGCTGGGATTTATGAAGTGTTGTTTGCTTCGTTACTCTTGTGGAGTTGTGTTGTTAGCCGCCAGTTGAACGCTATCGGTGGATGTCTTACCCGGCGCTTATTGTAGTCGAATATGGTGTGCTATTTCTTGTACAGGTCGATGAACTCGTGGACAAACACACATGTTGCGGGAGCCGGCTGCCCCCTCAAAGTTGTCAGTCCTGGTTGCGGGAGGCACTGGGCTTGGCGATGTCACCAATTCCTTTTATGGTGACAGGAAGCCTCGGGGGCCTCTCGAACGGGTGGTTGTGCCCATAGTACGTCCGCGCGCGAAACTCGTCGCAGAGGCAGCGGGTGTTGCCGAGAAGGACTGCAAGCAGATCCTTGTCGAAGCTTGCAAGGATATAAAGAAGGACAGTGCTAGTTTAAAATCAAATATGTATAGAAGGTCCAAAAGTAGGGGTGTCGTTATGCGTGAAATGTTTGGGCCGCAGAGTGGCAGTTCGTTGGACCCTAGTCGCTAAGGCCGTGTTTTCTCATAGTCCTCCGTCCGTTGTGCTTGCTGTGTGCTGCAGGTGTTTGTTGAACAGGGTTTCCTCCAGATGGAAGAGTGGTCCTTCAGGACGTTATCCGCTCTCGGTTGCCGCTCACTTTCATCGCTGCGCGTTTGCCGTCACACAATTTACAGGTCTCGGTCAAGGACATCATCACACTCGTGGATGGATACGGGGAACTCAAGGACGAGGTTGTCAATTTTTACATGGCGATGCTACTGGACGACTGCCGCCGGACTGCCGCTCTCATAAAGACGTACACCTTTAACTCTTTCTTCGCCTCTACATTGCTTCTGCGAGGTCCGGCGACTGTTAGCAGATGGGTTAAAGATGTCGATATCCTGTCTCATAACCTCGTTTTGGCACAAGTGCACAAGGGCGGCGAACACTGGAGCCTTTTGGCCATTGACTTCTCTAGATGTGCTTTGGAAATCTATGATTCTTTCTCGTGTTCGTCATCCAAAGATGACTTATATTCCACACTTTTCGGTAAAACTGTCGATTTTTTGAACATGGTGGCGAGTGTGGCCGGTGATGGTCGAACTTTCGACAACTTCGCGCGCGAGGTCCGCGTGAAAGGTGTCCCTCATCAGCGCGGCGGGGCTAGTTGTGGGGTGTTCATGTTAATGTTCGCTTCCTGTTTGTCGAGAGGTTTACGTCCACCTTTTGGTTTCACCCATGGACACATCTCGTCTATCAGAATTAGACTGGCTTTGGCCATTTGTAGTGTTGGTAGGTGACCGTCTAGCCATTTGTTGTTCATGTACTGTAGAAGGGTTGATGTAGAAGCACATTTCATTCTTCGGCGGATGAAATTTTCTCCTTTTCATTTTTTGTGAGCGTCTGGTGGGTGTTCTCGGATTGTATCAGAGCTATACTGGCTGACGCTGCCAGGATATCTCGGGTGGATTTGTCACGTCCCCGGCGTGTTTGTGCTCCACATTGTTGTGCTTCTACATGACTTTCAGTTATCATCAACCGCCCCGTTGTTGGGGCGCCGATTTCGTGATTGGCTTTCTTGCTTCCGTCATTTGGTGTCTTGTGTGGTGTGATGTTATGTCCACATACATCCGAACTCCTGCTTATTATATCTTTTATGGTCTGCCTCTCTCCCACCTCTCCCCCGTTGTCTTGACTCCTCTATACATTTTCACTTTCAATATTGTGAGGCATCACATAGTGCAAAATACAACACACGAGCCTCTTTCTACATTTGATGGTCTGTCCGGTCCTCCGTGCTCAGTGATGTGGATATTGTGAGGCATCACAAAGCACAAAATACAACGCACGACCCTCTTTCAACTTTTAATGTTGTCAATTCCTTGGACCGTAAAAGCTCCCCGTATTCAAGAGCATTCAAACAATAAGAATATTGAATGTAGCAGGGGAAGGAAAACCCGAAAGGCGGTGTCGATGGGTAGTATAGAGTGACGAAATTTGAATTGTGGTAGCCCTATTGAACAAAAAAAAATGCGTGATTGGACAAAATTGAAGGTAGCAAGGGAAGGAAAACCCGCAAGGCGTCGCCGATGGGTACTAGAAAGTGACGACATTTGAATGAAGAGAGCGCTACAGGACAAAAAAACATTCGATGATTGGACAAGGCCTCAGTTTCCGGGGTTGAACCGTGCCCCGAACCGGCATAGGCATCGGAGACGAAAGTGGCTTTATTGATACGATACGTCGGATGCAT